AAAGGCAGCATAAAGAAAAGGAAAAGGCAAGCTGTGATTTGGAAAAAGATATTTGCAAAACATATAATTTATAGAGCATTAGTGTTCAGAACACATGAAAAATCAATAATAAGAAGATGACCCAATAAAAAATTGGGCAAAAGAGATGGACAGACATTTCATAGAAGAAGAAAAATGAATGGTAAGGGAAATGTAATTTAGGTCCACAATGCGAAATCATTTTACAACCATCTGGTTAGTGAAAATTAAGAAGCTAGGCAATTGTAAGCATTGTCATGAATGTAGATGAAGGGAACGCATGTATGTAGCTTGAGGGAATGCGAATTGATACAATAGTTTAGCGTTATCTTATAAAGTTGAACTCTTATGATTTCATTCTGGTACATGTCCTAAAGAAATTCCTATACAAGGTAATGAATACAAGACCATTCATAGCAGAATGTTTCATAAAGACAAAAATCTAGGAAAACAGCCCTAGTAACTATGCCAGAATACTATTCCAAAAATTTGAATATCCAAATGTTAGGATATTATGGAATTTTGTAAATGAATAAACTACTACTGAATACATCAATGTGCATGAATTTTGAAAATCTTGCTTGAAAAGAGCAAGTTGTAGAAGATTAAGTTACAAATCAAGAAAAATTAAATAATGTATTAATTCATTTGTATATTTATGTGATAAAACAAGATAAAACTATAAGAGAATGATGACACACAATTCAGGATAGTGTTTATCTGGGGGAGGGAGACAAAGAAATGGAATGGAGGGAGAGGCATATAGGTAGATGTAATATTGGTAATGTTCTAGTATAGTCCTTTTTGTGGGTTCAACTGCTCCCTCCCCCTGAAAAGATTTCTTGAAGTCTTTACCCCGCATATTGCAGAATATGACCTTATTTGGAAATTGGGTAGCTGCAAATATAATTAGATGAGATCAGATCATATTGGAGTGGGGCGGACCCACCCCAATATGACTGAAGCCATGTCAAGACACAAATGCAGGGAGAACATATATGAAAATGAAGGCAGAAGTTGGAGTGATTCATCTACAAGCCTAAGAATGTCAAAGATTGCCAGGAAATCATCAAAAGCTGGGCAAGAGGCATGGAATAGATTCTCCTTCATAGCTCTTAGACGGCATTTACCCTGCTGACATCTTGATTTCACACTTCCAGCCTCCAGATTATAAAATAATAAATTTCTGTTGTTCAAAGCCATCCCGTTTGTGATATTTTGTTACAGTAGCCCTAGAAAATGAATGCAGTCCTTAAATCAGGTAGTGGGTTCATGGGTGTTTATTTTACAATTTACAACTTATAAATGTGTTACATATATTACTTTTATGTATCAAATAGTTACAGAATAACAATAAACATAAAAAAGTCATTGTTATTATTTTTATTACTACCGAACTGGGGCATGTTTTTTACTATTAACCTTGATGGCAAATTCCAACGACGCTTTTCCAGACAATTTATTTTATTTATTTTTTTTAATTATTTTTTTTATTTTGGCATATTATGGGGGTACAGATTTTAAGGTTTCAATAAATGCCTATTTCCCCCCCTCCCCCCAAAAGTCTGAGTCTCCATCATGACCATCCCCCAGATGGTGCACATCTCACTGTATATACCTGCCCCCCTCCCCCCTCCCACCTGCCCAATACCCTATTACTGTAGCACCTATGTGTCCACTTAGGTGCTACTCAGTTAATACCAGTTTGCTGGAGAATATATCTGGTGTTGTTTTTCCAATCTTGGGATACTTCACTTAGTAGTATGGGTTCCAGCTCTAACCAGGAAAATATAAATATCCCTAATGAATATAGATGCCAAAATTTTCAACAAAATCTTAGCTAACCGAATACAGACACTTATCAAAAAAATAATCCACCACGACCAAGTGGGCTTCATCCCAGGGATGCAGGGATGGTTCAACATACGTAAATCTATAAATGCAATTCACCACATAAACAGAAGCAAAAACAAAGACCACATGATTCTTTCAATAGATGCAGAAAAAGCTTTTGACAAAATTCAACACCCTTTCATGATACGAACACTTAAGAAAATAGGCATAGAAGGGACATACCTAAAAATGATACAAGCCATATATGACAGACCCATAGCCAACATCATATTGAATGGGGAAAGATTGAAATCATTCCCACTTAGAACTGGAACCAGACAAGGCTGCCCACTATCTCCACTTCTGTTCAACATAGTGCTGGAAGTCTTGGCTACAGCAATCAGACAGGAAAATGGAATCAAAGGTATCCAAATAGGGGCAGAAGAGATCAAACTTTCACTGTTTGCTGATGATATGATATTGTATCTAGAAAACCCCAAGGATTCAACCAAGAAACTCCTGGAACTGATCAATGAATTCAGACAATTTATTTAAACTATAAAAATCAACTTCCAAAACTCCCTTTGAATTTTACAGAGTTTTTATTTCAACCTCAGTGACACAGAGCCCCTGTTTCTCTGAGTTTAAATATAGTGGCACACCTCTTGAACAAAGTGTCCTTCCTCTAATCCTGAATGAAGGCGATTGCCAAGCACACACATGTCATGGCATGTTATCTTCTTGTAGACAGGCTGGCATCAGCTCTGCCTTTGTTTAACATAAAGGGAATCCTGGACATCTAAAATCACATCAAGGTTTTGGGCATGTATGCCACAAAGGTAAGTGCATTTTTCTAGCCTAGAAGCCATACCAGAACAGAGGCTTGGGTGCTTTGTTCACACAGATATATCTCTGCCTCCTGGAAACAGTGCCTGGCACAATGTAGGTGCCCAGTGAATTTGTTGAATGAATGTATAAATGAATAGTTCTATTAGAGTGTACACTTCTTAGAAGTAACAACACAAACTGTACTATTCAAAAGAGTTTATCAATTATCCTCCGCCCTCTACTACTTTTTGGTCTGTTAGTTCCCTTCATCTGCGGATTCGCCAGTTCTTTTTCTTCATATAAACACTCAAGGGCTGTCTTTGGGGACTTCACATAGGGGGTCAGTTTTGGGTCCCCTAAGGCCAGGCACAAACACTTGTGTGTGTGTGTGTGTGTATTTGTCGATTGAAGGTAATTGTTTATTCTTCCTTCTTCCTTAGAGACTGGTAACATGCTCTACTACTAATAGTAATGTATTCTCTCTTGAGGAGAAGAGATGTAGGTGTTTTAGAATCTTTTATTAATGCTCAGATGAAATATGTCTTGATTAAGGAACGAATTCTAAAAAAGGAACAAGGATACATGTACAGTTGATATTTCTTTAAAAATCAGAATTATCTAGTACTTTGTGAAAGAATTTTATGTTAATTTGAATATACTACACAATGAATGCTATGATCTGACATTACATTAATAAGAATTTCTTATTCTTTTTCTTTCACAGTAGCTAAAACAGCTGATGTTAAGTGAGTTGCTCCAGTGACAGCCTGAAAGTTTTTAGGACCCTGAAGTATAATACTGAAATGCTCACTATAGCATTTATCAGTGCAAACAACATTTGGTGAGTGGCCAGGCACTGTCTTAGGTGAGGATAAAGAGATGAACAAGACCTCTGCAGGAATTTCAATGGGGATTTCAGTGGGAGAGACATACGTAAACTGATAATCATAATGTAATGTGATTAAGTATTATTAATGATTAAAGGAAAGAGTAATTCTCAGTGTAATTCACATTTTCAGTGTGGCTTATTACATAGTTGTTCTTTGTCTATTTGCCATCTAGGTATAATAGTTCTCTACTAACCAGGATATTTGATTAACCAAAATGTTTAGTTCCCTGTACATATTTGAGTAACAGTTTATTTTATACATTATGATCATATCTCAATATCTACCACAGGAGAAAACTGCAATCATTCTTTTCTACAGTTAATGGCTAATTTATTTTATCTCACTTTTGCATTTTATGATCCTTTCCAATTTTCAGGAATTTAGAGGCCCCTTTTGATTTTAGAATGGAGAAACAAGGTTTGTTTCTGTGTGGCACTGTATTTTTTTTTTTTTACACAAGTGGCATCATTTTACTAAAATGAAAAGCAAAAGTTAGTAATAGATTCACGTAGTGGTTCGCTAGAAAAATGAGACACATTTAATAGATATGGATCAAAAAGGTATGGAGCAAAAAGCAATCACTGTATAAAAATGGCTCAAATCATAATTCTTGATGAAAAAGTGGATATTTCTTTTCTTCATCATAAAATCATCTCCACGAAATTTGTTAGATGCACATCTCTTTGGGTATATATACCACTAGAAGGTCTCTCACCAATGGACTCGAAAAATCAGTATAATGTGACTAATCCCTTATCTGTAGGTGTTCTTAAAGAAGGCAACTCACCCCTCTCCCTTCTCACATTCCTTAGAAAGCTGGAAACAGTCCAGTCCTCTGTGTGGCGGGGAACCCTAAGGCTGTGAGTGTTTCCATTTAGAACACTTGGCTTGAATACTTGTTTTTTAACTCCCTGGGGATATCTGCCACAAAACCTCCCCACAAATACACTACCTCTTTCTACCTGATTTCTGTGTACTTTTCGCGCTGGACTTGGAATGAGTTCAGTCCGCAAGCTACAAACTGACAGCCCAACACACTCTCTCTAAGCTTTCCTCAGTTCTCCAGACTCCTACCTCGCATCCTCAGAGGTGGCTCCTTTCCTTTGCAAATGATTTTAAAACAAAACTTTCCCTAGCTGATCCCACGGCTGAGAGGGCAGCTGCGCCGCTGATGGGATGGCCGTAGCGTCCGAGCGCGGTGCCCGCGCCTCTCCCAGTCCTGCTCTGTGCCCACGGAAAAGGGGGCGGAGAGGAGCGAGAAGAAGGGGCGGAGGTCACCCGCGCCCTCCGTCCCTCCCAGCCTGCGAGCGCAGCTAGGTGCAGAGGGATCGGAGGGGCCCAGCTGGCAGGTTCCGCGCGAGGGGACGAGCGGCGGGACGCGAGCCGGCGCGGGAGCGGGAGCGGGGCGCGGCGCTCCGTGGCAGCTGCGCCGGCGGCGGCGACGCGAGGTCGGGCGCGCCATGGCGCACAGAGGGGCGCGCTCTTCTGCTCCGCAACGAGCCGGGCTGGCGGCCGGGGATGCCAAGGTAACCACCCCTTTGGTGGCTGGATCCGCAGACTTCGGCTTCCGCATGCCCAACCCGACCCAGGTTGAACAAACCCACTCCCGGGGCGCCCGGCGGCAGCCACAGCCGGCAACGCTGGAGGGCACTGAGGCTGCGCTTGGCACCAAGTTTGGACCAGATTCCCACGCTGGGGAGACCCGCAGAGACAGAAGGGTACTTGGGCCGACTCATCCCCATTCTGAGTTGTGCGGATGGGGACTGGGTGGAAAGGGTCTCAGGGGAGGGAAATAGGCAAAGAACTCCATCCCCTTGTCCCCGTGTGGTTCCCTGCCGGGCGACTCCTCGAGTTTCTCACCCCGGGCTGGCGCAGACCTTTGGCGCCCCCCAGGGTGGGAGGGAAAACAACTCTCTGGGGTTTGAGTAATTGCAGAAAGTTTCAGGGAGTTAGTAGGTTTGGGGAGGATGTCGCAATGCGAGGGTTGGGGGTGGTGGGGGTAACAACAGGCGAAAGTCGAATTTGTGAGTAAGACCTGGAGGAGGTGGCCGCCCTTCGGGCAGTCCACGCAGTCCCACTCGGGCCAGTCCCAGCAAAGGCTGGCTTCGGAACCCCCAGCCTCCCGGAAAGAGGCTTGGGAAACGCCAATTCAATTAGCTCGGGGCAGGGTGGCTGTAGTCGCGTGTATCGAGTGTCTGTGACTCAGGCCTCAATTCCCCTCCCCCTAGGGAAAGAGTGACAAATAAATACTTCGCCTTGCACGTTGCTACTCCAAAGATGTCACTTAACAGCTTGTAGGCAGAGGTGGTGCGCAGAGTGAGTGCGGCCCGCCCCCTTCCCCATCGCGAACCAGTTCTGCTCAGGTGGCAGCGAGACCAGAAAACCTTTCTAGATCCTCACCACTCTGCCTTCCATGCCTCCAATGTGTGTGCGGGTTGCTATTACGTGATTTAGGCTTTAGAAACGTATTCAGAAAAGCTCCATTTAGCATCAGTAAACTTGCTGGTCCCCTTCCAAAGTTTGGAGGAGATTATGTCTGCCTGACAAACAGGTAGTTCAGCTAAGGAATAATCTGCAGTTTGGGGACAAAGCCCATCATAGAAAAGAGCAGAGATGTTGGAAGGGCATGTAGTTATATCAGTAGGCTATTATGGTTTTTAAAAGTTTATTGGGTTTAAATCTAACCTTGTTGGCGATTTTGTAAAATTTAAAAGTTTTACGGTGTCAGTGAAGTGTCAGGAAGACATTTAGGAGGTGCCCATTTGCAGAGAGGCCACAGAGGTTAACCAAAGGCGTCTCAATTTTGGCGGCTTCTTCACCTTGAAAATGAAATGTGGAACCACAGGCAGATGTGTGCTGCTTTCAGTATGATGCAACCTTGCTTATGATAGGCCAGATAAATCCAATCCCGCCGCAGGGTGCTGGGGCTCTTCAGTCATAAATGTCAGAGGAGCAGTAATGCCGTGTTCATAATTCCTTCCTCTTTATGCTACAGATGTTTGGACTGCAAGGCTGCACGGTTTTCAGAGGGAGATGACTTGAGTGGCCGGCTTTTATCTCTACAACAATGTCCATGAACAATTCCAAGCAGCCAGTGTCTCCTGCAGCTGGGCTCCTTTCAAACACAACCTGCCAGACAGAAAACCGGCTTTCAGTATTTTTTTCAATAATCTTCATGACAGTGGGAATCTTGTCAAACAGCCTTGCCATTGCCATTCTCATGAAGGCATATCAGAGATTTAGACAGAAGTCCAAGGCATCGTTTCTGCTTTTGGCTAGTGGCCTGGTAATCACAGACTTCTTTGGCCATCTCATCAATGGAGCTATAGCAGTATTTGTATATGCATCTGATAAAGACTGGATTCGCTTTGACCAATCAAATATTCTTTGCAGTGTTTTTGGTATCTGCATGGTGTTCTCTGGTCTGTGCCCACTTTTTCTAGGCAGTGTGATGGCCATTGAGCGGTGTATTGGAGTCACCAAGCCAATATTTCATTCTACGAAAATTACATCCAAACATGTGAAAATGATGCTGAGTGGCGTGTGCTTGTTTGCTGTTTTTATAGCTTTGCTGCCCATCCTTGGACATCGGGACTATAAAATTCAGGCGTCGAGGACCTGGTGTTTCTACAACACAGAGAACATCAAAGACTGGGAAGATAGATTCTACCTTCTACTTTTTTCTTTTCTGGGGCTCTTAGCCCTTGGTGTTTCATTATTATGCAATGCCATCACAGGAATTACACTTTTAAGAGTTAAATTTAAAAGTCAGCAGCACAGACAAGGCAGGTCTCATCATTTCGAAATGGTCATCCAGCTCGTGGCTATAATGTGTGTCTCCTGCATTTGCTGGAGTCCATTTCTGGTAAGAGCCTGGTGTTTTGACAGTTTTGGCTTTCTTGGGTTTATCCATGTCCAGTTCAAGATTTGTTGTCATTTTCAAAGTTGTTAGTCTGTAAGTTCAATCTTTTAAATACCAGCTTTTACTCCTACCCAAAATTTATGTCAGCATTCAGCTCTGGCTTAGAATGTGCCATGGGTGCTATGGTACACATGATTATTTTCCCACAAGTCTAGAATTGAAAGAAATGTACTGCTAAATAATTCTAGCCATAGTGTTATCTGCTTGCAGTACCTCGTAAAGTAGTTTTGGTAGAAGTAACATTTTTAATGTACTGAATATGATTAGTTTCTAAAATGTGAACAAAGTGACCAACTACCAAATACAACATTGAAATGGACTCCAGTATGTCTTGGTAGAAAGTCACACAGACTTTTAACTTGTAGACAAGGCACATTTGCTACGGAGTTCTTCTAAACCTGTAACATCCAGGCCTCAACTAGCAAGGGGTGGTTATGAGTTGAGATAGTTGGATAGTTCAAGTAAGAAATCATGAGTTCACTAATCCAGGAACAATGCCGCCAGTTTTTTATTTTTTAGTTAGCTGGCAGGTATATGTGATGGCTTGATATTTTTATTTGGAAAATAGGCTAAGGTTAAGGAATTAGCAACAAACATAAATCATTCATATTACCTTCCAGATAGAGGACAACTTCTTCCAACATTTTACTTTATGAAGGAAGGAGCGACAACATGATATGAATGAGAAAAAAATTCTTTTGTAGGGAGCAAGTGACAGCAAAGATGTTTTCATTCCTATTTCTGTGACAGTGGGGAAGTGGGCTGGCATCCACAAATAGTTATATAGGTGATGCAAAGGTGGAAATCAGACAAAGGTAGAGGTGAGGCAAAGGTTGCCATCATACCTTACCTGGTTGAACGAAGGTGCTTGTTACTAATGAATTTTCCTAAGCCTCAAACAAGTCTATGGCCCCAAAATTGTTGCCATTGAAGTTTTAATAAACAGTTCAGATGATTGTTATACACATAAAAGTTTGTGAGAGCTGCTGCTTCAGACAGATGCTACGATAAAGTCAATTTGATTTACAAAGTGAGTTCTACTTTTCTAATATTTTTTTATTTCTATTAATATTATTGCCTCACAATCTGAATTTAGCTTCTTGAATTATTAAATTATTTGAATATTTTTTTGTGTTCTTGAGTTGGCCAGATCTTAGGGACCCACCCAGGGGGAGGGTTGTTCTATCAGTGGCTAGTCAACCTTTAGAGATTTGCTTATTGTCACTTTACGAGGCCTTAGGTAAGCCCAACAAGGCTCTGATTTGTTGTGCTTATAGTATAGATGTTTGAAGTGAATAACAGAGACCAGTTCTAACAACACTGGAACCACTTCAGTGTTCATTTTTGAGGAGTTTAATTTATGCCACTTGACAAAAGGAATTTCCTGAGGGTAATGCTTTGTTTTCCTTAAAATTAAGTTTTGAAATAAAGTAGCTTTTCAAAACAAAAAGTGAATCTGAGTGAATTGAAACTAATTTGGGGGTTGTAAAAGGAATACAAAGAAAATGAGAAAAGAAGTGGCTGAAAAATGTTTAAGAAAACTTTTCACAGGAAGGCCATAGCTCTGGAAAAACCTTTAAAAGATGAAATAGTAAACTAAATGAGAGACAGACACTCTGGACAACTGAGGTAATCAGTTATGTTTTGGTTTTTGTTCTGAGGTATCTTAAAAATTCTGTTTAGTTCTGGTTTTTGATTTTGAGAAATAAAAGTGATAGACTAACTACTGTAAGACCATGGAAGAAAGTGAAATTTTAGTTTCTTGCCATGAATATTTTGAGTTTATGTTTTTCCCTAATTTCCTTTCCTGGATTTTTGGTTTCCTTCACTGTTAGGATAGATACAACAATTTAATTCATATTTTGGACCTATTTCCTAGTGGAAACATAGTTTCATTTTTCATAAAACATTTTTTAAGGTCTATTTTCTATTTATGAGTTATTGATACATCTATCACACCAATATAGCAATATTTCTAAAATGCTTTTTACTGTGAAAAGTATTTTTGTGTTAGATGGATAGGAGGTACATGATACAAACTCCTTGATGGGTTCATAATTTGAGTTGTTTTAAGCATTCTTTGCATTCCTGGTTTCTTTTGTGGAGACTTGGGTCTTCATGGCAATTTCTGACTGAAAGATTTATAACTTTTGTGGTCTGGGCACAAGTGCCTTGGGGATTAAGTTAGGGTCATCAGACAGGTATTAATGGAACTCTAGTAAAAAATCTCAGGCTTGAGAATGCCAAAATAACACCCAACACTAAGACCTCAGGTGAAACATTTCTCTTTTCCCACCCAAGGAATATCTAGGAGGATTTTAATAACTGATCTGTCAGTCTTCTGCCCACTTTGTACTTTAAAAGCTTCTTACTTTTAAAAATACCTCTGAAACCAAGCTTCTAGAACCTCATAGATATACAATGACAGTGACAGCTTTTAGATCAATGTGCTACTTTATACCCTGTGCCTTTTCTTTATAATTGATAAGCATGAATTGTTGGATTTGTAATTTGAATGAGCATCTGCACACACTCTGGCCTGTGTTCACTGTCATTTTCTAGCCTCAAACTAGAAAAAAGGTAGAGGTGCATATGCTAAAAGGAAGAAATCAGAAAGGTGCAGATGATGATGTCTGTGCTTGGCAGAATGTAGTGTGTTAAAACTTATCAGTACTGGCATAATTTCTCAAACTACCTAAATTTATTTGGAAGGGGATACTTATGAATGATTTTTTGAATGCTCTCTTTTTAATAAAGTATATATATATATATATATACATATATATATATATATATAGTTTGAGTAGTTCTAGGCTTACAGAAAAATGAGTGGATGTCACTGAGAGTTTACATATTCCTCTGTCACCCCAGGAGAAATGTTTCACCTGAGGTATTATTAACATCTTGCTTTGGCACATTTGTTACAACTGATGAGCCAAAGCTGGTATATTATTATTAACTAAAGTCCATAGTTTACATTAGGGTTCTCTCTTGATGTTTTATATTCTGTGGGTTTTTAAAATGTATAATGACATGTGTCCTCCATTAAGTATCATACAGAAGTGTCATTGCCCTGAATATCCCCTGCAGCTTAAAAAATCTTTAATATGTTTTATTTTCCTGAAAGGGAAAAATGTGCTTCCCCCCCCCTAGTAAACGACATTTAGGAATGTAGTAAAACATAGTATTTGTTTAAACTATAACATGCAAAGGACTTTTAAATTTTATGATATCTGAGTTTTATAGTTTTAAACGTAGTAAATGCATATAAATTCATTTAATTACAATCTCAATTGAAAAATGCAGGAAACTACAACATCTACTTATTAGCTTATGGTTCTGTTTAGCAACAATTTAAATCCAAAAATCTTTCAAAGTGAAACAGCAATTATAAAATTGTTCCATGTGCATGATAGGTCAATCACTTTTCCTGAATAAGGAAATCTTGAAGACATTCTTTTGATGTTCTCATTGTGAGGGGAAAAAAAGGTGTTTATCAGCATTTTCAAGAAATATTTTCTTAATAATCTTTGTTTCTGCCTTTATGCAGGTAATGATTCTTTTTAATGCTCCATTTCTAGAATGTGTAACTTTAAAAAGAATTAATTATTATTGCTATGAGTATCTCACCTATTTGGCAGAGCAATAAATACTTGTTGACTGGTTGACTGAAACTTACGTAGTATGGATGTCAAGAGATTGGAAATGATTGACCAGAATATGGATTCTGAGTTTTGTAGGTAAGAGTTAAGCAAATACTGAAATCGAATAGTAATTTTAATCTGTTCCCTAATCAGCAACTGTAGACCTCAGACATTATTAAACTTCAGCTGTCTTTTAGTAGTAGGCCATACATTTGTTTTACCTTTTCTTCATGCATAGAGAATCATTTTGAATTGGGAAAAGAAGGCTATGTGGGTGAGTTTACCAAGAAATATGTTCTCTTGCATATGCAGAGTTTAAGTGTGGGTTTTTCTAAGGTTACTTTTATGCTAATACTTCCAGTCAACATAGTTAAACATTATTTGGTCACTAAGGTGTTTGTCAGATATAGATCAAGTAACTGGGTGGCTAATTGAACTTTGACTGAAATTACTAACAATATTGGCATCATAATGACCAGATCTTAGAGGGCTAATGGCAAGTGATGGAGGAACATGACATCTAGAGCATTTTGATATTAGTGAAGATTGTTTTCTTTGAAAGATGACCCTCTTTGTCATATTTAAGAATGGTGTAGTGAGAATCTGTGTATGTGTCTTGAGTGCATGCCTCAAAACCCAAAGAATGGTGAATAGATGTATATTTATATGTTTTAAGTGAAAAGAAAATGTAAAAAATATATAAACATTAAATATGTACATGTATATATATTCTGTATGTACATATGTGTGTGTATATATATATAGTGTATGTATTTCTGTATATACCTATGTATCAGTATACATATATATATATATACATGCACACACATTATTGTTAAATTATTCCTCAAATTAAAAAATTAACCAATCCAGCATTGGATCTGATTATACCAAATAAGAGGGCTTGTAAAGGGCGGCATTCTAAAATTTAAAAACACAATAGACTCTTTTATACAGTTGCTTTAGATATTGGAATGTAGATCTTTTGGTTTATTCCTGGATCTGTGCTGATTTTAGAGGCAATATTGTCATAAATTGTTATAGTTTATTTTGTGTGTGTGTGAAGTGGGAGTGTCCTTTGTTTGGAATATGGAAGCAGCATAGAAATCATCTGGGTACAGGACCTGATGTCACCTGGGTTCTACTTCTATGAAGTTCTTAAACAATTTAGACACATAAAACTCAACATTCATATCTGGAAGAAAAGGCACACCTTAGAGATATGTTAATGTAGTTTAAACTATGGGAGTTCAGAGTGCTTTCTCACAGTCAAGTGGGCATGGAGTAAGTGGCATGGGG